CAGGGTTAGGGTAAGGGTAAGCTTCTAAACTACTTAAGATCGCAGTCTTGGTTTCTATGGTACAAGATCATAATTATATCGTTCTTCGAGAGAGGAACAATCCCCATAAGGCAGACCCTCTGCTTGAACATCTGTCAAATTTCAATCATACTAATCAATGTAATCAGGGATTGTGACAAAGTGATTTATATTTCTCACCAAATTGAACAGTATCATTTAGGTACATAGAACTTAATGAACTCTGCTAGTTTTAACAATATATGATTTTTGACTTTCACCTCTATATAAACTTCTGTTAAGCACGAGCTTACTAAACATCTAATTGATTCAGTATGTTCTTTACAAACTACGTGTGGTCTTTGCACACGCTCCGATTTACTTCAAAGGAATATGCATTGGTCAGTAGGCATGCCGTGACGAGATAAAAGAGACAATTGCATGTATGACCATGTGTGCTAGGGTATATATTTAGGAGTTCACTGACAGTTAAGAGAGAGGAGCCGGGAGGAGAAGAAAGGGTTGGACGAGTGTATGGACTCACCCGAGTTCAGCCGCTGCCTTGGCAGAGGGGCGGAATGGTTGATTCAAGATTGTTAGATGTGTTCCTGTCGTAGACTAGTTCTTGTATAGTTTTAGGACCTGTATTGCTGTTGTAATTATGTAGATGTTTGATATTCTGTTCCCGTTGTAAATAAACCATATATTTACGAAACCGATCTTCTGTTATACACAAATAGTGTTACAGGATCTTGGATAAAAGATCAGAATTTAGATATCTTCTACCGGCCGATGCAAAGTTTGAATGTTTTACGTGTATAATTCTAAAAGCCAATTTAGAAACCCGTGGGATACTTTTGCCTAGAACAGCCTTCCATGTGAATCCACGAAACACTAACTGCATTACGCGTTGGAATATGGGAGGAGCATTAAACAACCCAAACCCCATTCAGCCCTGTTCATATAGCGATAGCCCATAACGCAGTCTATTTTACGATATCCATCGCCAAGCTCTATTTGGCAGTAGCCAGAAGCCATACCTAATATGCAGAAATACTTGTTACCTTGCAAGGTGTCCACTGACTACCCAGTCTTCAATATAGGGCAGTGCAAAATGCTATTTGACGGCTCTGCCATTAAGTATTCGGTAATCTGCACAGCATCGACAACTTCCATATTTATTTTTCACGAGAACAGGAGCGGACCTTTTAGTAGATTGTAGGCCAGCCTTTTACAATGTTTTCAGCTCGAGCAGCTGTTTGTCACACTCGTCGATCAACCCAAGTTCAATTCTTTTTTAACGAATCATACTCTTGGCGTTAAATACAGTAAACAGGGGATAATGGCGCAGTAATACAGGTTATATTTATAGCACGGCTTTCATGATTTAACAGGTTTAACCAGAGGCCGTAAGCCGAGGTTTTAAACCTGTTAACGACACCTGCTCAACATGCTTGTTGTTATTGCACAGAAAACCCACTCACTTCTCTATATGAGTTCTACTAAAACTAGTGTAAATCAGCAAAAGTGTGCAATAATATTGAACATGTCTAGTTATTGCACGGTTAAGCTCCACCCAATCTACTAGAGGGAAAACATTGTGTTTATTCAACGAAAAGAAGAAAGGAAGATTTCCCATCCATGTTACAAGTATCTATAGACGTTTGTGAGAAACAAAGCTTGTATAGGAATCAGTGCACTGGATGCCTTCCAGTAAAGATCGATACAAAGACAAAATCATTCTTTCTATTTTTTGTAAAACTCTTTACGCTTCTCAATCAATCGTAAATATTTCACAGCAAATCTTAACGATTACTATGAATGGCATCGATATTACAAGTGACTTTACGATTTTTTACAAATCGAACAAACGGTTGCCATGCAAGATACCCCACATTTTGCAAGAAAAAGACAGGGTACAAGCGACAAAAAGCGATTTGTCGTTCAATCAGGGGGTCATAATCCAGGTAGCTACGGAGGATCGAAAGGAACAGAGATCTTTTTGGATATATTTGATGACCCGTAGAGGGTTCACAACCTTGGTATTACATACTTTTACACTATTTGTGTACGAGGAGCAGCCATTTTGTCGGCCAGTTTCGGTCCGATTTTCACGAGATTCGACCTCAACTGTCACCATGGTGTAACGTTCATATATTTAAACGGTTTTTAAAATTGGATGAAAATTGTAACATCTAGTGCGTCCACAAGAGAAAAACCGATTTTTCGTCAAATTTGCATAACAATTATGAGCTGTACGGTGTCCAGAAACAGTGTCCGCATGAAATTATGGCAGTATCGGATCTGGGGGGGGGGGCAAAGTGGAACAAATGTCCCGGGCCCCCCACATTTAGCCCCCCCCCCCCACAATTCTGGGTCATACTAATATTTTATCCCAGACGGAGCCAACCAGTACCTGGGCTTAGGGGGCGAGGATTAGGCCCTGGGCAGTAAGGGATATTGGGGGCCACGGGACTGGTAGGTACCAACAGATTTTCGGACTGCCCAGGAAATCGCTGCCTAAATTGTCTCAGATGCACTGAAATTAATCCTAAAAATTCCTGGAGGAAAACACCTCAGACACTCAAGGGGGCGGGGTACATAATAGTACGATCCGCGGTCAGTACGAACAATTTGAACAAACAACAATAGGGCCCCCGCACAGTTGATATGTCCCGGGCCCCCCACAAGGTTAATCCGGCACTGTATAAAAATCTCCGGAAGAAATCGGGAGTCATGTGACTGGGAGCAGGTAAGACCAAGGTGTCCAAAATGTCTCAGGGGGGTTGAATGGCCGAATGGTTAGCATGTGCGCGCAGGAGTGCGCTGTGTCATGAGGTCTGTCATTGAGTCAACTGGCATGGTTTCAATTCCCAGGTTGTACGTGACAAGGAGTAGGGTCGTGACAAGGAGTAGGGTCGCCTGTCCAACCTAGTGGGTTTTCTCCAGGTCCTCCGGTTTCCTCTCACTGCTAAAGACCCCTATGTGCAAGCGAATTATTGAAATAAAATTGAACCATGTGTTAGTCCCGAAATGACATAGTTTGAATCGAGTGGGCGTTAAACCCATCTCTCTTTCTCTCTCTCTCTCCAAAATGTCTCAGATGTTCAGCCATAATGATTACAGCTTAATTGAATTTTTATTAATAATGATTTTTGTTTGTTTGTTTTGTGTTTTTTTTTTTGTCTATTTACATTTGCCTAAGAATTAATTTGTTTAAATATATTGTTGATTGATAGGTTTGTGTATTTTTTTTACCGGTTATTTGGTTTCAGGCGGCTAATGGATTAAATAGAAACAACAATATACTTTTATAAAAAAAATGTACAACTTATTTTTAATTGGCTGTGAAACTTCCTTATGAAATTTGTTTGGTTTTTTTTCAAATTTTGATCAATAGATTTTCTTTTATTATAGATATTTCGGTTTTAGACGACTAATGAACTAAACATATATGACAATACATATTTACACAAAATATACAGCCCTAAACAGCAAACACAATTTTACTTATTTGTGAAGTTTGCCAAGGAATTAACTTTTTCAAATCTTGTTGACTTGTATATTGACAGTTAATATAACGGACAATTTTATTTGTTTTTTGGCATTTTATTTGGTTCATGAGTCGCGGAAGTCGAGCGGTCAGCCGAGAAGAACCTTCGTGTTTTTGCCAATCTGATTAAATCACAGATACTATTTCGTTATCTTTACTACACTAGGATCTGGAAGAGATGTTATATAACCTAAGTTCTGGGGTTAGTGAAGGATTAGCCAATGAAAGGATCTGTTATGGTGAGTTTTGTGCGTGAGATTCACGGAACTGTAGCTAACCCCCTAGAAACATCAACGCCGATGAGTTAATCAAATTTCTGATGTCATAGGCCGGGTCAAAAGCCACTTGTATGACCTCTGACGTGACCTTCCACTACAACCTCTTGTGTATTTTCTAATTTAGTTTTTATGCTACAATAAAAAGATGAATCTTGACAGTTTTTGTTTCTGTGAACTCAAACTAGGGTACAAAATCTTTTCAAAATGATTACTAAGAACTTAAGGGTGATGTCATGTCTGTTTAGGGCTCCCTTAGCAATGACTCCCAATAGCCACACAGACTTGCATTCTCTTAGGGATATAAAATCAACCCACAATATATTTAACAACTAGATCACCACAATAAATCCCAGTAATATACAGAACCTACAGTCCTTACCATGGCTTGATAGTCTATAACACGAGTGGCAAATTATACACCTTCTACAAACCATCCGTTAATTTGTTCACACGACTTCAGAAGCCCCATACAATTATACTTGTTATAAAAATATGTCTATAGACTGGATAATCGATCGTAGCCCATCCCTTCCTAATTTGATTACTTTTATTTTCAACCGATATAGATTAACGTGGAAGATGCTAACATCTTCTAAAATGGATGTGCATGGAATAATAAAATCCCTAAAATAACAATGGGTAGCCTGCTGCCTTACTTTATTATTATTACCAGCGGTTGCATGGCTGAATGGTTAGCGGATGTTGCATCATTAGGTCGATTCCCTGGTTGTACGTGACAAGGAGTAGGGTCGCCTGTCAAATTTCGTGTGTTTTCCCCTTGGTTCTCTGGTTTTCCCCCACTGCTAAAGACCTCTACGCGCAAAGGACTTATTGAAATAAAATTGCACCATATGTTAGTCCCGAATTGACCTAGTTTGTGTCGAGTGGACGTTAAACTCTCTCTGTCTCTGTCTCGGTCTCTCTCTCTCATATCATCACAGGGATGCAGTGTGCCATTTCTAATCATCCAATGTTTGGAGCCAGAGGTTGGCCAATTCCTGGTGTATAATCCAGAGGTTGGCCATTACTAGTGTATAATCCAGAGGTTGGCCATTACTAGTGTATAACCCACTTAACCACTATAAAACCATCAACCAGAGGTTTGCAATCCCTAGTGTATAACCACTATAGACCAGAGATTGTTAATCCCTGGTCTATAAAAACTGTATTAATTCATTGATCTATACATTTTATTTATAAAAATTAACACACAGATTGTCTAGTCTATTAATATCTGTTTATCCAATCAACTAGTTATCTCCCCTGTTTGTTTATATAGTCAATCAACTCGTTATCTCTGCTTTTTGTTTAGGTTCATGTTGTTCTATAAAGTCTATAGCACTAATATTAGTTTTATTTTCATCAAACTTTAAATCCTCTGCATGTTTTCCCAGAAGTAAAGCTGGTCGGCTGTCCGCTGTTTTCATTAAATTTTTAAGAGCATCCCTGGCTGCCATTTCCTCCGCTATGCTAATAGTTTCACCTGGGGCTGGAAAATAAAACAACATTATTATTTCGCATTGAAACCTAAACGCACACATTCATTAGAACTGTCTATAAAAGCATACCAAGCTTAGGCAGCCTGTCTACAGTTAGTTCCACTTGAGAGCAGACAATAAGCTAGTTGACCAACATTTTAAGTCCTTAATCTCGACAACTAAATCGAAAACATTAAGAATACTACAAGATTTTTGAGAAGCATTTATTCTGCTTCCATTTAATGGGGGTAATGAGCTATGAAATAATTATCAGAAATAATTAAAATCTAATAGGCTACTAGGAATCAGATGATAACTGACTGTTTGAATCATCGCAAATCATTGAAAATAGGTTTTTTGTTCTTGTGAAATAATTTCTAGTCTTAATACTTCAGCATCAAGAGCAACAACAGTCATCATAATTCAGAGAATAATTATCGGAAATATACCAGATGATCACATCAACATCAGCTCAATAGAGCATCCACAACATTCCAGTGAATAAATATTTAATTGAAATACTAGAGTTATACAGGAAAATAACTATTGTACATGTATTTTAAGAGCTATGTTTCGAAAATGATTCTCTTGTCGTTTTCGATCAGGAACCTCGGTGGTCTCATTCCGTTCTACTCCACTAACCCCTGGGTTTATCCATGAGGAAGACAGGTATTCAAATTAACTGCCCTTCATGACTGTGCTATTTTTATCAACCAATTCAAAAAATCATTAAATACAAAGGAAGTTGGCGAAGGAAAGTAACTCTTATCTTGTTGCAAACTTTCTCATGATCGAGCGAACATACATGTATTGATATGAACTAAACAACGAGACTGGTTTGTGAACTGCTTTTTGATTGGTTCGTAGAATCAAGCTACAATCAAGGGCAGATAATTTGAATATGTGATTGTGAATACCCTATGGATGAACCCAGAGGTCAATGAAGTAGAACGGAATGAGACCACAGGCCATTCTCAAGTTTTTCATAGAAATCTTGTATTTTAGTTTAATGTGGTTTAAACAGTAATAAATAAATATTTACCTTTTCCAATGAGCTGTTTATCTGAATAAATACCAACATGATAAACAGCCAAGACTGTATTACTAGCTGCCTGCCTTAACAACCTATAATATAACATGACAGTATTAATAACTACCTGTCTTAACAACTTAACACCTGTAGTAAATAACAGGTAAAAATACAGTAGCATTTAAACCAGCAGTCCTATAAACCACCAGACATTTACACAACATTAATACCAATATGTATTAAAGAACAGTATTTCTAAGGGACATTTTACTTTGACAGTAATTGAATTCAAACTCAAGCAACCCTGGATAAAAAACGCTAACAAGTACAGTGTATAGTTGTTTCATTATGTACTAGTGAATTGGATCTAAGAATTAACACCAACAGGAGGGTTATAATCATACAGACATGGTTCAAGTTTTAGATAATCCTATACTAGTCGGATACCTTGCTTCACCCGGGGCTCAAATTGGCAATGGGCCCAAATTTGCCAGGGGCCCAAATTTGGACAGGGCCCAAATTCACCCGGGGTCCAACGTTGACGGCCTAAAGCATTCACAGGATTATGCTGGTTATTTGATATGTGGGGGTGGAATGCGACGACAAAGCATGATTTTGCCCGGGCCTAAAACATTCACTGGGTCATGCTGGTTAATTTAATACCACATATGTGGAGTGGAGAGAGAGAAATGGGTTTAACGTCCACTCGACACAAACTAGGTCATTTGGGGACTAACATATGGTTTAATTTTATTTCCATAATTCGCTTGCGCGTAGGGGTCTTTAGCAGTGGGAGGAAACCAGAGGACCCGGAGAAAACCCACGAGGTTGGACAGGCGACCCTACTCCTTGCCACGTACAACTGGGGACTCGAAACCACGCCAGTTAACTCAATGACAGACCTTATGATACAGCGCGCGCATGCTAACCATTCGGCCATCCAACCCCCCATGTGGAGTGAAACGTGACGAAGAGTGATGGGCAAACAAATATACATCTTAGAATTTAATCATATAGATATCGCGCTGAATGTCACAAAAAAAATAATCTAATATGTATAAATTTCGTATTAGCGAGATTTATATCTTGGTAAACTACTAACCTTGGTTCAGGTAACCCGCGGTTCTGTGAATTAAGGATTGCGGACAATAAACCCACAGGATTAACAACTTTCCATGTTTCATTGACATCCACACCAATTAATTGTGGTAAAATAAAATCACGAATAAATCTTCTGGCTCTTTCTTCATCCTGGGGATAAAACAATATCAACAAATGAAATAAAATGAGGTTTAATATCCTACTAGTCTTTCGGATGGGTCAAAAAAACAAGGTCTGATGTACATCTTAGTGTTTACTTAAAAGAACCCTTGACAGTTGGAAATCAATAAAAGAATAGGTCATAGCATCACTATCCAGGCAAAATTTCCCTCATAGCCCACTGCATGATGTATACCTGCCTTATTCAAAGATATGGAATGAAATGAGGTTTAGCGTCCACTCAACACAAACTATGTCATTTCGGGACTATGTCATAAAGGAGGAACCAAAATGAAATTGAGTTATAGTCTTTGATATCTTTGGATGACATATACCCAAACACATGTTTAATACAGTACACCAAATTAAATTTCCTGTCCACATGTAACGAGGCATCAAATCCGAAAGATCACAGTACCAAATCGATTTTTACCTCGAAAGTCAACAGTACCAAATCGATTTTTACCTCGAAAGTCCACAGTATCAAATGAGATTTCTACCCTGATTGACCGTTTTATCAAGTTCGATACCTTTCCCGTTTTACCAATTCGAAATCTATACACTAAATGATTTATCATTGATGATGAGCCTGACCCTAATTAACCCATTCTTCTACCCAGCTGCTTGAACCTGAACCTAATTATTAATTAACCAATTGTTCAACCCAGTTGCTGAACTCAAACTGAGGACGAACCTAAAACTAATTAACCAATTCTTCAACCCAGTTGCTGAACTCAAACTGAGGACGAACCTGAAACTAATTAACCAATTCTTCAACCCAGTTGCTGAGCTAAAACCGATGATGAGCCTAAACAAATAGTTTAATTTGAATCGACAAATAGCTGAACACTAGAACATAATAAATCTATTTTACAAACTGCCGATTCAGAGAGACACAAATCTTTAAATTTATATTGACCTTTTCTTGTTGAATTGCACCAATCAAAGCTTTTAACGTTTTTACAACAGTTGAGTCTTTGGCAGGAAAATCCTGAAAAAAACAGAAAAATATAATAAGAACAAATCGGTCAATCTTTCAGTTAAAAATTATCAATCCATATGACACAAAACTGATCAAGCAAGACGACAGAAAAATCATGCTAAATGTTCTAGTTTTAAATTTTCGAGCTTTAATTGTTCTAGTTTTTACAACAGACATTTTTCTCTGAAAAGGGTAGGGAGATGGAGGGCGATTATTGCTTCAAAGAATCAAAGAATCAGATAGCATTAGGCTAAATTAATTGATAGCATTGATCTTTGATCAAAGATCCATTCACTAGATACAAAATCTCCATAGATGTATAAATTTCAAAACATTTATTGCCTAAGCCCCTTATTTAAGACATTGTATTTACTTTCATTTTCATTTACTTTCCACAAAAAATATTTCCAGGTTTTCTAGACATACTTTTTAATTATTGATATTTTGTAGATTAATAAAAGTGAGTACCGAGCATAACATAAGATCTGTAATACCAATATGTCTACCAATATAATTCAACATTTCTTCACACATTAAATAATCATGAAGAGCACTGAAATTAAATAAAACAAGGTTTAAAATCCTACTTCTCTGGTCCAACAGGGCTAATGGGGACATGCAGTGTGTGATGGGGGACATTGAAGGACATTTTACACAGATAGCATTTTGGAGACTTGAGGACTATTTATGATTTTTAATAGAAATAAAATGGGTTGAATGTTCCAGCAGTGTGCTATAAGACTCGGAACCAAACAACTAAGGACTCTACCTTGTCAGGCCCGTCGTCTTAGTCATATTTGTCCAGTACTGTTGTAATGGTAATAAATGATCTAAGCTACATCTTCAAACGGTCATAACTTCACTCAGAATAAAGAAATTTGAATAAAATTTTCAATATATTCATTTTTCATTATCTATTTTCAAAATATTATGAACAAACGGTCATCTCTTTATCTAAATCTTACATAATGTATCGTTAAATTTTCATCCAAATTAAATTAAACTTTAATTACCGGATTCCTTCTTCAAAGAAAAGTGGATAAACATGACGTAAATATCCTTTTATATAACGACTCGTCAGTACCTCACCTGTACAAAATAACACAAAACATAGATCAGAACCTCACCTGTACAAAAAAACACTAAACATGGGTCAGAAGATCAAATTCAAATGGATTTGGGTGAAGTGTGTATTAGCCGCTGTCTCCAGGTGACAAGATAATATTTTTAAGACAACATGCATAGATAAATCTATATTAATATTTTATGTAACTCTTGTTTATTTAAGCGATGTATTAGCCACGGAACCAGGTTTATTAGCCATGGAACCAGGCTTATTAGCCTAGAAACCAGGTTTATTGGCCTAGGAACCAGGTTTATTAGCCTAGAAACCTGGTTTATTAGCCTAGGAACCAGATTTATTAGCCTAGAAACCTGGTTTATTAGCCTAGGAACCTGGTTTATGGAATGTAATTACAGACACTGGTTCCTAAATTTGAATATAAAATAGAACGATAGAACTGTAGGCAAGCTGTTTAAAGAAATGAGATGAAATTGGGTTTAACATCCGTCTGTTCTGCACCTATTGGGCTAATACTATAACACACATGATACAGTTAGGGTTAGGTTATCCGAAGGACTATACATTGTTCCTTGCCCGGCCCCCCAGCCTGCATCACGGACAAGGGGGAACCATGCCGGAAAATCACAATTAACTTTCAAGAAGTTTTTAAAAGAGCTGTCATGAATTTTTGTACACAAATTTCTTTTGATTTATCCATTGATCAACACTTTCTGTAAATCTCCAGCATACCCCTAAACCCCTTACAAACAACAAAATAAGTAGCCTATACTTGTCAACCCTTATCTATTAGAAAGTATTTTGAAAAACTAATTAAAATACAGATCTCTATTTTTTGTTTTTTTATACTTTCGATGGCCTACACTACATGAAGATCTGACCAGTTTTACTGGAAGGTTTCATCAGGGGTCGTACGAGCGTTTTTTGACCTTATGACGTCAGACATTGATTAATCAATCAGTGTTAACGTTTCTAGTGGTTTACTCACAGTTCCGTGCATCATACACCAAGAACTTGCTGTAACAGATCGTTTGATTGGCTAATCCCTCGCTTCAACCAGAATGCCGGTAATATAACAACTCTTATACCCATACTTTTTTTCGACTCTTTTATGGAAATGGGAGGGTATACACCGATACACGGCCACTTTTGACGGCCACTTTTGAAAAGTGGCCGTGTATCAGTTGAAAAGTGGCAGTGTATCAGCTGAAAAGGGACAAAAATAACAAAATCATGATTTACATATTTATTTGAACATCTACAACCCGTTTTGAACATAAACACCGTCTCTTTTTTGGAGTGGAGATATCCTCGGCTTCGCCTCGGAACCCCACTCAAAAAAGAGACGGTGTATCAACCCATACACCTTGAAAACGAGGTATATAACTATTACTTACAGATCCTTGTGTAGTAAAGACAAGTAAAACAAAATTTTGAATTATAAAAAAAGAAACCAAATAAGATCTGTGTTTTAATCAGATTGTGCAAAACTGCATGCAGTATATTTTTCAAGACACCCCCACCCCCAAGTCTACAAACAGGTAATAATAATTAGTGGAATTTCCACCTGCTGGAATAACCCTTAGGTCAATGATATTAAATAAATTCTCTCACCTTGTTCAGCTAGTTGTTCGTTATCTTCAAGACTCAGTGAAACTGTTTGTAAATCTATTCCTAAATCCTCTCTTTTCTTTCTTTCTCTTTCAATATAACATCTATAACAAGAGAAAGAGAGAAATGGGGTTTAACATCCACTCGACACAAACTAGGTCATTTCAGGACTAACATATGGTTCCATTTTTATTCCAATAATTCGCTTGCACATAGGGGTCTTTAGCAGTAGGAGGAAACCAGAGGACCCGGAGTTAACCCATGAAGTTGGACAGGCGACCCTACTCCTTGTCATGTACAACCGGGAAGTCGAAACCAAGCCAGTTGACTCAACGCACACATGGTAAACCTACGGCCATCCACCCCCCCCCACCCATCTATAACATATAAAATATATATCCTGGTTCTCAAACATCAGATGCGGGAGAGAGTTTTTAGTAATTGTGTATCTATTTTATCAAATGATCACTACCTATACCGTTCTAAATAACTTCTCATAAATTCCCCATTTAAAGGCATTACATTTATCCCATCATGCTGTGGAATATTTGATTATCCAGTACCGTTTATGATTGTCATAAGAGAGCATGGTATTTAACATCCACTCGAAACAAAATAGGTAATTTGGGGACTAACATATGGTTCAATTTTATTTCAATAGTTTACTTGTGCATATGGGTCTTTAGGAGTGGGATTAAACTGGGGGACCTGGAGAAAAATCAAGAGGCTGGAAAGCTGACCCTACTTCACCCTACTCCTTGTCATGAACAAGCAGGGAGTCAAAACTACACCATTTAACTCAATGACAGACTTTGTCATCAACCCGTTAAACCATCAGTGAGCGAACCCTCCTTGATTCTGCTAATAAAGTAGACATATACGAAATGAAATGAAATGAAATGGGGTTTAACGTCCCACTGTTCTGCTCTGAACTGGGCTAATGAAGACAGCCATACGCCATACAGTGTACTATGAGGGAAATTTTGTCTGGACAGCGGCACTACGACCTACTCTTATATCAAATTCCAACTGCTAAATCGCAGGATTTCGTGAAGCCATGTTGGAATGGTGTGCTAAATTGCAGGAATGGTGTGCTAAATTTCAAGAAGCCATGTCAGAATGGCCTGCTAAATCGCAGGATTTCGAGAAACCATGTCAGAATGGTGTGCTAAATCGCAGGATTACGAGAAGCTATATTGGAATTGCGTGCTAAATCGCAGGATTTCGAGACGTCATGTCGGAATGGTCTGCTAAATCGCAGCATTTCGAGAACGACTTGAAAATGACATTTTTGCTTCCCTTGCTAGTTTCATTTCCAATCAAGATCTCACGAGTTCAATTATATAAAAATGTATGGTAGAATTGAGTAAACCAACTGTCCTGGTTTTATTAAATTAATTAACTCACCTGTGAGAGAAAACTGTCCTGGTTTTATTAAATTAATTAACTCACCTGTGAGAGAAAACTGTCCGTAAAGTTTCTTCTTTAAGATCTTCACCTAGTCTTTTACCGAACGCAAACAATTCAACATTATAATTCCTGTAAAACATCAACAAACAATTCAACATTATAATTCCTGTAAAACATCAACAAACAATTCAACATTATAATTCCTGTAAAACATCAACAAACAATTCAACATTATAATTCCTGTAAAACATCAACAAACAATTCAACATTATAATTCCTGTAAAACATCAACAAACAATTCAACATTATAATTCCTGTAAAACATCAACAAACAATTCAACATTATAATTCCTGTAAAACATCAACAAACAATTCAACATTATAATTCCTGTAAAACATCAACAAACAATTCAACATTATAATTCCTGTAAAACATCAACAAACAATTCAACATTAAAATTCCTGTAAAACATCAACAAACAATTCAACATTATAATTCCTGTAAAACATCAACAAACAATTCAACATTATAATTCCTGTAAAACATCAACAAACAATTCAACATTATAATTCCTGTAAAACATCAACAAACAATTTAACATTATAATTCCTGTAAAACATCAACAAACAATTCAACATTATAATTCCTGTAAAACATCAACAAACAATTCAACATTATAATTCCTGTAAAACATCAACAAACAATTCAACATTATAATTCCTGTAAAACATCAACAAACAATTCAACATTATAATTCCTGTAAAACATCAACAAACAATTCAACATTATAATTCCTGTAAAACATCAACAAACAATTCAACAATATAATTCCTGTAAAACATCAACAAACAAAGCAAATCAATAAAAAAGAATTAATGACACTGTCCAGTGATTTTCCTATTAGACATGTTGGAGGAAAGAGAGAGAGAGAGAGAGAGAGAGAGAGAGAGGGGTTAATGTCCACTTGACACAAACCAGGTCATATTGGGACTAACATATGGTTAATTTTATTTCAATAATTCTCTTGCGCAGTGGGAGGAAACCAGAGGACCCGGAAAAAATGCATGAGGTTGGACAGACGACCCTACTCCTTGTCACATACAACAGGGGAATCGAAACCATGGCATGACTCAATGACAGACGTTATGATACAGCAGACACCCACTAACCATTCGACCATTCAACCAGTCAAATTCCAAAATAACGTTCGCATCCAACACTGTGATCGAACTGGAATGTCCAGGCTGCCATGTCAGCTCCCTAATCACCAAGCCGCCATGGCTCCATCCAACACCTTGATCGAACCGGACCCTCCAGACTGCCAAGTCAGCTCCCTAATCACCGAGCCGCCGTGGCTCCATCCAACACCTTGATCGAACCGGGTCCCTCCAGGCTGCCACGTCAGCTCCCTAATCACCGAGCCGCCGTGGCTCCATCCAACACCTTGATCGAACCGGGTCCCTCCAGGCTGCCACGTCAGCTCCCTAATCACCGAGCCGCCGTGGCTCCATCCAACACCTTGATCGAACCGGGTCCCTCCAGGCTGCCACGTCAGCTCCCTAATCACCGAGCCGCTGTGGCTCCAAGATAAATGACTAAATTAGCTTGACTGATATAAGAAGAACCACAAGACAGAATATTAAACAATGTTTTTACCAGTTTGCCCATTCTGATCTGTGTCTTTCTGGTTCTGGTCCAATCTCCTCCCGAAGACTATACAACTGAACTAATTCATCACGTAATTTATTCCTGTATCCTCGTTGGACCACTGTAAGATAAAATCAAATAAAATTAAATACACATGTATATTCTGTATTTCTTAAAATTAATAAATATTTTTTTATGTGGCAATCGGTAATAACCACTGACAAGAGGAAACCACGCTGGAAATTCCTGATGAACTTTCTCCGCCCTGAACCTATACAATGTACATCTTGGTTTTCAAAGTTAAAAATTCATCTACTCGGTTTCAAATTTTGAGATATATTTTTGTTGTGTTTGAAATGGCGTGGAACAGAAAAATCAATGTACTGTCTCTAGTACATGTACGCAACATAGAACGGGAGCTATCAGTGGCTTAATTATTCCAAAATTCCAAATGGAATTTGAGAGAGAGAGAAATGGGGTTTAACGTCCACTCGACACAAACTAGGTCATTTCGGGACTAACATATGGTTTAATTTTATTTCAATAATTCGCTTGCGCGTAGGGGTCTTTACAGGTGACCCTACTCCTTGGCACGTACAACCGGGGATTCGAAACCACACCAGTCGACTCAATGACAGACTTTATGATATAGCGCGTGCACGCTAATCATTCAGCCATCCAACCCCCCCAAATGGGATTAGAATATTCAGTAAAACCTGCCTGTTCTAAAAACAAAAAACAAATTGAATTTTTTATTTCCAAGTGGAATGAGAGCTAGCTTCATATTTATGTGTTTGATTCTTCGTGTTTCATTTTCTCACTTACAATAGCCTGGGAGCTACGCTGGTTCGCTAACCTGGAGGTCCCATGCATGTTCGATCTCGACGTGGTTCCCCATTGTCAGTGGTGCAGGACCGAAGGCCTGGCAAGGGATAATGAATAGCCCTTTGGATGGGACAAAAACCTGTGGTCTTGTGTGGTCTACACATTGGCATGCACGTAAACGATCCCTTGGCAATTCGGTTGGAATTCAATAAGAGTAGGGCGTATAGGTTCTGGCAAAATTTTCCACATAGCACAATGTATAGTGTATATATAGGCATGGCCTCATTAGCCCAGTTGGAGCAGAACAGTAGGGCGTTAAATCCCATTTCATTTCACAATATATAGGGCCTACAAATAATCAAGTGTTGAAAACTTATTATTAAGACTAATATATAGGCCTAAGGAGTGAAAAGTTAAGAAATCCATTTTTTAGACTGGAGTAACATGCTGTACAAAATGAATCGTCGGCGTTCCTGAGATTAACTGGTGTGAATAGAGTTTCGTTCTTTGTTTGCGAGGTTTCAATTACCATTTACTGGCGATAAACTAGTTTTTTGACACAAAATTCTTCTTAAACACGATCCCAGCCTGATGGACGCCGCCATTTTATTTCAACTTTGACAATGAAACGAAGCGAATTAGTTGTTTTTATGTTGTTAAAGTATTAGTTTCTTCCATGAAGTAAATAAATGCATAAAATGTGCACGTCATTCAACAAAAAAATATGACTTAACTGCAAATAGCTAAACATTAATTTCTACTGACTAAAGTATGTGTTTCGTTTTCCACTTAAATAAATTTTTGTGTGTAATTTTAGCTTTTCCGGTTATTTGGGAACGTGAAAGTTAAAGTCTGAAAATAAGCCAAGAATAATGCGTTTAACAGAAGTTTTGAGTTTCTATAGGCATATTATACGTGTTCCAGGCCTGCGTTTTGAAGGGTTGGTATAATTTAACTTATATACAGAGAATGACATAAAGGAGTCTGAACTAGGCCAAATTTGCCCAGGCACCAATTCAAGTCCCTATTCTGAATTCATGTCATGAAGAAATAGTTCATTAAGTCGCTAGGTCAACTTTCATCCCAGAACCGTTTCATCTCGGGCTGTATCATGTCAAACTTAAACAATATTCATATTGATTAATCAATAAAGAGGTGAAATTCCCAGACAGGAGCAAGCTAGTCCTGCTTAATGGTCTCACATATAACAGTGACTAGGCTCAACATAAATTTTTGTTAAACTCACTCACTGATAGTGATAGAGGTTATGATGAAGGCACACCAAAATCACAGCCTATTGCATGAACCAATAAAATTTTATATTACGGAGTTTTTTCGTGTCATAATTAGTAAAGATTTGCTGACAATGACATTGTTCCTATTTTCTGTATTGTTTAGACTCAAATGTCAAAACTCCTGGCTTACTACACACAATCAAGATAATGCTTGTTCGATCCCGATGTTGGCCAAGAAATTTCATGAGGATTTTCGGGCATGGTCCCTTGTCAGTGGTGCAAGACGTGGGGCCTGGCAAGGGACTAAGTATGGTCGATCGAACAGGAGGAAAAACTGAGTTTCCGTTGTGTACACATTGTGATGCACTTTCAAAAATGTAAAATGACCCTTGACAGCTGGAATTCGAAATATGAGTAGGTCGTAGCGCCACTGTCCAGGCAAAATTGTGATCATAGCCAGGGCTGCCGACATCCAGTATTGCAGCGCAATTTGCGATACATATTTTGTCTGTTGCTAATCAAAAATTAAAATATAACGTTTTTGATTAGCAGTAACTTTGAATCATTAATATGAATGTCATTTTGGATATTGACACGAAGATTTATCCACATCTCTCAACACTTTCAATGTGTATGAAATATCAAATAAATTTTTTTAAGCAAAAGTAAATTCTCCGTGTGATATTTTCTTCTCGAACTACCCAGACTCAATTCATTATAATATATAATACAGGGACATAACTCTATGAATTGGGACTAATAAACCGGAACTAGGGAATCAAGTAGTACAACTCATGTTGCAAGACATGACAATTTCGAGTAATTATATCAGTATTCAATCTGAACAAAATTAATTCTGTGTATTTCCCAAGTATTGTCAATAAAAGAAAAATACGTGTAAGTAAACGTATCGTAAAATGAGAAATCAAAGTAAGAATTCCCGTAAAATATTATTGTTTATATCGCGTGCGTCTAGTTAATTGAGATTATTCATAAAAAAACTGTGTGTGTCCAATTGAAAAAAAATAATAACACACGATAAAAAGCAGAAAAAATTGTTTTCTAATGAAGAAATAAGAATTAAAATGAGTGGGACTTCGGGACCCACTGCCAAGAATTGGCTTCAGACATAACCAAAAGTCTACATTCAGAAATGTTCACAGCTACCTGTAGCAGTGCTAAAATTCTAAAAAATGTTGAGAATGAAATCTAATCATTTGTAATAAATTACAAAAAATGCTTTTCTTTCTGGCATTTTTTGTTCAACATTATTGACATAACATAACACGTTACAACTCTGCTATAATTTTTAATTTGTTTTTCAGTAAAAATCGAATCCATCCACCCATTACTCCAGCTATGAAGAAGAAAGCTTTTAAAGAAATGATGGTGGAAAGACGAAATCTTGAAATCCTTGACAATCCTTATTTAACAAGGGTAAGAAAAAGAGAGAGAGAGAGAGGGAGAAATGGGGTTTAAAGTCCACTTGACATAAACTAGGTCATTTCGGGACTAACACATGGTTCAAAGTATAATTCGCTTGTGTTTAGGGGTCTTTAGCAGTGGGAGGAAACTGTAGGACCCAGAGAAAACTCACAAGGTTCGACAGGCGACCCTACTCCTTGTCATGTACAACTGGGGATTCGAAACCACACCAGTTGACTCAATGACAGACCTTATGATACAGCACGCGCACGCTAACCATTCGGCCATCCACCTACCCTCACCCCCAGATAAGACAAAGATGACAATTATTTAATTTAAAGGACTCAGTCATCTCAGATGTTTGTCGTGCTTAGATTTAAACACTGTTTATTAAAGATACATTATCTAAGATTAGGAGTTCTGACCATATTTAAAAATAGATAATGAAAAGTGACTATATGGCAAATTTCAGTCAATAACTTCATTCTGAGTGAAGTTATGACTATTTGAAGAATTGTATAGTCTCAATTTTAATTGGGGGGTTGGATGGCTGAATGGTTAGCGTGCGCGCGCTGTATCATAAAGTCTGTCATTGAGTCGACTGGCGTGGTTTCGAATCCCCGGTTGTACGTGACAAGGAGTAGGGTCGCCTGTCCAACCTCGTGGGTTTTCTCCGGGTCCTCCGGTTTCCTCCCACTGCTAAAGACCCCTATGCGCAAGCGAATTATTGAAATAAAATTAAACCATATGTTAGTCCCGAAATGACCTAGTTTGTGTCGAGTGGACGTTAAACCCCATTTCTCTCTCTCTCTCTCAATTTTAATTGCTACCCATGTCTCGATTATCCATTATTAAATTAATTAACTTATTGAAAAGTGGTTGACCAGTTGTTCAATCCAATTGTCTAGAAACTTAAATGTGGTCTTGACATGTGAATAAATGTCTAATTAATAGTATTTATAAAATTTGATGCTAAGAGAAAGATTTGTAACAGGCAGAATTAACTGTTTTGATTGCACACAATATACATGTACATAATCAATTACATCCTATTGCTTTAATTCGGTTAGTCTAGTCACGAATAAAATGGGGTTTATTAACGTCCTACTTTTTTCCACCGTTTAGGCTATCTGAATTTCTGTCGGGCTAGTTGAGAATTTTTAAGAGTGTTTGTGGATAATGTGTGGTATGGATAATTAAGAGTGACAAGTTACTGACTGAAGCATCAAAAAAACATAAAAAAGAATTGTGATACATCAATTCGACATCTCACTATTTAATACTAGTATTGATTCAACGATATATCGTGCCAGCACTATTCTCCACTCCTTGACAGTAAAAACTAGACATTGTGATATCCATAGTAATTTTCATGCCGATCAAAATTCAACCCTCTGCCTCACTTCTGTGTTTACCTGTAGATTCAACCCTCTGTTCTGTGTCTACCTGTAGTTACAACCTGTAGATACAACCAAATAGGTTTTCTCTGTACATGGGTGCTCCAGTAACATAAACTTGTTCATTTCACAACTAATATATGATACAATTTTATTTCAATAATTTGCCTGTTTAGCAGTAGAAGCAAACCGGAGGACCTGTAGAAAACTAATGTGAAACCCCATCTCTCTCTCCCTCTCTCTCTTTCTCTCTCTCTCTTGCAGTTCTTTATTCTGGCTACAAGTGTTATAAACTATTGTTTTGAGGTTTTGAGGTTAACATCATCCCCCTAGACTACCATCTCCCTCCTTCCCCCCCCCCCCTCACTCTGCAATTGTAGAAGCAGAGAAGTAGACATCTCAGTATATCTCGTATTCCCCCCCACCCCTCACTCCTGTACCAATTGTAAATACTAGTGATGTAAACAGGCAGTAATAGTCAACAATAAACGTCTCAAATTTTATTATCTGAACAATGTTTCCGTTTTCTATTTTTAGGCAGAATCAAGCGGACATTCAAAGGCTTTGAAAAAAAAAGAGAAAAATTTCCAAGCCATAATCGCCCAAAAAAAATCCAAGATGAATCCCCATTGTTATTATGAAGTAGAAATTAAAAACTGTTTACAAGCAACAAAAGGTTGGATGCATGGACACTGATGTGAAAAACTTTAAAATAGACAAATTGTGTTATCCTGGTTACATGTATAAACACTGAGACAGATTTCTATATTAATTGTTTTATGTATATACTCTATGGTTTCTATATTATGCTAAGTTCCCATGCGTGCTGTGATTGACATCGTGGTTTTAATCATGGAGTAATCATGGTGATTCTATAATCAAGTCTTATTATGTAATTGTATAAACACTAATAGTAAGTGCAGGAGGACCGCACTACACACAAAAAAAATGCTAGGTTCCCACGATTCGTGCTGCGATTGAAATCACGGTTTTAATCGTGGAGTAATCATGGTGATCCTATCAGGTCTTATCATATAATTGAGGTCAGTTGTAGCAGTCGTGTTGATCGTATCAAAAGGTACATGTATCCGAACGTATCTGCACGTACCAGATCGTGGACTCAATAGGGACAGTCATATCGTAACATATCGCACGCCAGTGGGAATCTCATATCGTAACATATCGCACGCCAGTGGGAATCTCATATCGTAACATATCGCACGCCAGTGGGAATCTAGCATTAATAATACGATACACCACAGAAAATAAATGACAATGCTGTAGATGTTTTTGTGTGAGTGGTGATATTGTGGTTTGTTTTTGATTATAATCATGAAAAATAAAAAAAAGGGTTTTTACTAGCTGTCTTTCTTGTTCAAATAAAACAGGGTTTAATGTCCACTTGACCGTAACCAGGTCAGTTCGGGATTAACATGACATCTTTATTATCTGAGTGATTTGCTTGGATGAAGTTTTTAAAAGTTTGGGGGGGGGGGGTGAAATTCAAGGATGTTAGACAGGTGTCACATTATACCAACCCATGACTTAAAATACATATCAGGACTTACAATTTAAAGGCATGGCAAATATACTATTCAAAAAAAGTAGGGGATATTTGATTTTTAAGTGTTATTAAAGTCACCTAATGAAACTGACGAAGAAACAAATGACAAAATGAAATGAAGTTCACATACCATTATAAGGGTAAAATAATACCCGGGGTCAAACAGCAAAGTTACCACAGCATCACAACCAAGTCAGTAACGGGTAAATCCTCCTCTGTTTGCCAAACAAGCATTGATCCGACGTGGCATACTCCTAATGAGACGTCTAAGGTCATTTTGGTCCAGATTGTCCCATTCATGTTGCAACGCAGCAGCAAGTTCTTGGACATTGGCAGGACGTTGTTGACGTTGACGTAACCTCTGTCCAAGCATGTCCCAGACATGCTCGATGGGGGAGAGGTCGGGACTCAGTGCTGGCCAAGGTAATGTGGTGATGTTCTGTTGTTGGAGGTAACCTGTAACGATCCTGGCCCTGTGACATCTTGCGTTGTCATCCTGGAAGATGAAACGGCGGCCATGACGTCGTGCGAACGGCACAACATGGACTGCCAAGATGTTGTCCCGGTAGTACTGGCCTGTAACACGCCCTGCAACAACATGTAAAGCCGTTCTTCCAGCAACAGTGATGCCTCCCCACACCAAAACAGAACCACCCCCAAATCGATCATGTCTGATGACGTTAACGTCTTGGAAGCGCTCGTTTCGACGACGCCACACCCTCCTACGTCTGTCCAAAAAATCAACAGTGAACCTTGACTCATCTGAAAACATCACATTGCTCCAGCGTCGATTATCCCAGTGTTGACGATCCCTACACCAACGACGTCTTGCCTGAATGTGATGATCTCTCAAACAAGGGATCACGCGAGGACGTCGGGCGCGAAGGTGACCCCTATGCAGTCGATTCCGAATCGTCTGGCCACTCACTCTCACACCAGTGTCTGTTTGAAGACGAGCGCTGATCTGATTTGCTGTGATGACACGATTTCTCAAGGCCAAGGTACGGATAAATCGATCCTGGGCTTGAGTTGTCGCCCTTGGTCGACCTGAGCGTGGTCTGTCCTGTACAGATTGTGTATCACGGTATCTGGACCATAGCCTGCTTATGACAGACTGAGAAACATTCATCGTCCGCGCCACAACCGCCTGTGTTGTGCCGATCTGTAGCATGCCAAGGGCACGTAACCTTTCATTTTGGGTAAGCCGACGCATATCAAAATTTGTTTTCTGGTCACTAAAACAATTAAACTGATGTTTCCACCCTGGAATTTAATGCCACAATGACTGTAACATTCAAAGTCAGAGTCGTGCAAATCTTGGGTTGGACCCCCATGATGATCCCAAGCATCACCTGCATTCCATGCGGTAGCTATTGGTGCGTTTGGGCGTCACATGTAACTGGAAATGTTTCTTCTGTTAGGTTCTATAGTGACTTTTTTCGTAGTCATTTGCATATTTTAGTATTATGCCCCCAAAATCAAATATCCCCTACTTTTTTTGAATAGTATATTACTACAAGATTTGATCTCACTTCTTGCTTGTTTTCAATTTTGATTTTGCGATTTCATCTGAAGATCTCAATCCTGGTCATAAATCACCTGTCTCAGTCATTGTCATACACAAATTATCATACATAAGCAGCCAGACACTCTCACTACTTGTAGGTCAATTGTAAATACTATTACAATACTTAGAAAACAGACAGAGCTTTTCAGACGGCCATGATTTCCGTTTAACAGAATATTAGATCAAAGAGATTTATCATCTTTTATATAAATTAATATCAAATGTTACAAGACAAGGTCAAGGTGTCTCAATTATAAGGAAGTCACGTGGCGAAGTGGGTAAGACGCTGGCTTCCAGGTCTGGAGGTCGAGCGTTAGATCCCTGCAGTTGGAATTCGATATTAGTGTAGGCCATAGTGCCGCGGCTCTGGCAAAATTTCCCTCATAGCACACTGAATGGCGTATGCCCGTCTTCATTAGCCCAGTCGGAGCAGAACAGTAGGATGGTAAGCCCCCATTTCATTTCATTTCTCAATTATAACACAAGATCAACCTAACGCACCCAGCTTGGAGAGAAAGTTTAATGTCCACTTGACACAAACCAGGTTATTTCAATATTTCATTAATTCGCTTGTGTGTAGGGGTCTTTAGCAGTGGGAGTACCCGGAGAAAATGCACGAGGTTGGACAGGCGACCCTAATTCTTGTCACGTACAACAGGGGAATCAAAACCACGCGACCTGACTCAGCATCAGTTGGGCGAATAATCAAATTTTATACCTATCCCAGTGACTTTCGGAATTGCAGATGTAATGATCGATCAGCACTATATGACTTAAAGTTTTATGTAAACAAATTCATTGTGTAATTGTGGTTTGAGACAGTATGTGTGTATTTCATCTTGGACAAAGTATTAAGTATTGTAGACGAAATTATGAAAATATGCAAATTTTATCAAATCCACCCTGTTCCGCAAATACAGGGTTGTCGATCAACTTCGTTATTATGTTAATAAATGAAATGAGTTTTAACGTCCTAATGTACTGCTTTAATTTCCTGCATGGTGTGTGGAGGATTAGATAACATCCAATCACAGGACAGAGCTGCACGAAAGTTGTGGCAGAATGGACGGCCAGTACTACAAGGACAGTGTGTAATCGCCACTTCCAGCCATCATCAAGATATACACATGTTTTAGCATGATACTGCTCGAACACATACAACACGTGTATCCATGGTACTGCTAGAACACATACAACACGTGTATCTATAATACTGCTCGAGTACATAGAAACACGTGTATCCGTGATACTACTCGAACACATACAACACGTGTATCTATGATACTACTCGAACACATACAACACGTGTATCCATGATACTGCTCGAACACATACAACACGTGTATCCATGATACTTCTCGAACACATACAACACGTGTATCCATGATACTGCTAGAACACATACAACACGTGTATGCATGATACTGCTCGAACACATACAACACGTGTATCCATGATACTGCTCGAACACATACAACACGTGTATCTATGATACTGCCCGAACACATACAACACGTGTATCCATGATACTGCTCGAGTGCATACAACACGTGTATCCATAATACTACTCGAACACATACAACACGTGTATCCATGATACTACTCGAACACATACAACACGTGTATCTATAATACTGCTCGAGTACATACAACACGTGTATCCATGATACTGTTCGAGTACAAACAACACGTGTATCCATGATACTGCTAGAACACATACAACACGTGTATCCATGATACTACTCGAACACATACAACACGTGTATCCATGATACTGCTCGAGTACAAACAACACGTGTATCCATGATACTGCTAGAACACATACAACACGTGTATCCATGATACTGCTCGAGTACAAACAACACGTGTATCCATGATACTGCTAGAACACATACAACACGTGTATCCATGATACTACTCGAACACATACAACACGTGTATCCATGATACTGCTCGAGTACAAACAACACGTGTATCCATGATACTGCTAGAACACATACAACACGTGTATCCATGATACTACTCGAACACATACAACACGTGTATTCATGATACTACTCGAGTACATACAACACGTGTATTCATGATACTATTAGTATACTATTTTGTAATTCGGTTCTACCACATTTCACATCTGTCATACACACATCTGTCATACACACATCTGTCATACACACTAATACCAAATAAACCGTTCCATTGTTATACGCCCTGAATGACTGCCATAACCAAAATAATGTACATGTATACTATTTTGTAATGCGGCTCTACGAAACTTGAAATATAGGTTTATATACAAATCATCTCGGTTCCTTTCGATATTGACATGCACCAAACCGTAACTTCATGGATTATAACCCCTGATTGTACAAAAATTCACGTTGTTAGCTTGAGAAGACCCTAGAGAGGTCGCGATTTTAAAAATATATTTATAAGGACGATTGAGTTTGAATTTCGTGAAATTCGGACCGAAACTGCCTGACAAAATTGCCATTTCGTGTACAAGGATATAATATCAAGGTTGTGGACCATCTAGAGGATACAATTTTTGTCTGATTTTGATGAAACTTAAAATATATCTTTATATCCAAAGATCTAGGTTCTTTTTGATATTGATGTATGTCGGAAAGTAAAGTCCTCGATTATGGACACTAATTGTACGAAAAATCGCCTTTTCAGCTAGTGCCCTATCCATATCTCTTGCGTTATCTTGCATGGCAACGGCTTATTTTCACGCCTATACAAAAGTTTACCATTTTTACAGAGAGAGAGAGAGAGAGAGAGAGAGAGAAATGGGGTTTAACGTCTACTCGACACAAACTAGGTCATTTCTGGACTAACATATGTTTTAATTTTATTTCAACAATTCGCTTGCGCATAGGGGTCTTTAGCAGTGGGGGGAAACCGGAGGATCCGGAGAAAACCCACGAGGTTGAACAGGCGACCCTACTCCTTGTCACGTACAACCGGGGATTCGAAACCACGCCAGTCGACTCAATCATGACAGACTTTATGATACAGCGCGCGCACGCTAACCATTCAACCATCCACCCCCACCCCCTCCATGTTTACATCTAGTGATCGAAGTCTTAAGGTGAATTAATCAATTAAATTAAATAATACTCCGAACTCCTGTCGTTACATCACGCTATTGTTCCCGGGTTGTTGTTTTCTTGGCAAACATGCATCGAACATATTTCAATCGAGCCATGAATTGATCTAACGCT